GGGATTAGCTCACTAGTTCATATGAACATATGAGCTCAACGTCCCAGATTGATTCTAGGCCGATCTGATGATCACCAAAATTTTCAGGGGTACTTTGATTATTTTTCTTCATGAATAATGTTTTTTATATTTTTATTAGGTACACCTTGATGAGAAAAAATTTCAAGTGATTTTGATATGTACAAAAATAAATAAAATTCAAGCACTACCGGATATCCGTGATCATTAAGTTGACTCAGATTCGATGTAGGATATTGAGCTCATATGTTTATATGAGCTAGTGGGCTAATCCCATCTTGATATATATATATATATATATATATATATATATGTATATATATACCTGCTAAATCAATTCTTCACAATACTTCAGAACCCAAGGAACCTGTTGCTTTTTATTGTATCATTGATGACATTCATAAAATCACCTTCACCCAAGCAAAGACCAACAACATTTTTAGATATAAAGAGCGCTAGGCTTTGTAGGAGTGCTGCTAACTCAATAAGATAGCAATAGCCAAACCAATAGGTCCAATGAAGGAAAAACTCACCCTCTTATTTCAATCTCTAGCCACACCTCCTAGTCTGACATCATCTAAGTTACCCAAAGAGTTATCAAAATTGAGTTTAAAGCAACCATGCATTAGAGGACCTCCCGAATGGTCTACTTTTGATTACTCGTAGGATGAAAAAGATTGTGGAGATTGAGCATGACATCCACTTAAGAAATGCCCATGTCTTTCTCAGTAACACTCAACCAACTCCAAAGAGAGTGATTGATGTTATTGGGAACTCTCTCAAAACAAAAACACCCCCTCAAAAGTTTTTCTATTCTGGTCTTACCAAATCTCTCACATAGCAGCCCCTCTAACTAAAGATGATAAAAATGATCTACATAGATAAAGATGCTTTAAATATGATAAGCATGATCTAAAGGGATACATATGCTCTAAAGATGATAACTATGATCTAAAAGATGATTAGAAATATCTAAAAGATTATTAGAATTATTTAAAAGATGATTAGAATGGTGTCTAAGACATGATTTTTTCGAATTATGTCGGACACAATAGAGGACTACTCTGACTGCCCTAGGCTTCTCTTGATGATGTTTTTCACTTTCTTCTTCTCTTGATGATGTTTTTCACTTTCTCTCAAGTGTTGGTTGTTCCTTGTTTCATTTTTCTCATATTTTTTCTCATTTTTATGATTTTCTAAGTACTTCTGTTTACATGATACATTGTGGGGCTAATTGCTCGCCATGATGAGTGTCGTGCCATTTTGCACGACATGCAGTGTGTCGGGCATGTGACCAGTAACAAAATGGTATAGATTTCAAAAACAAAAACTGTGAAGTTTCAAAAAATGTTTTTTTATGCAAAATACGCAAATTTAGAAACTCAAGGGCCCCAAATAGTTTACACTTCGATCTGTGCCGATCTCTAGGTGAGATCAACTCAAATCTTTAGAAAAATGAGTTATTTTTGTAAAAGTAAAAAAAGCAAGGTCGCTTGAATTGTGACCCCAAGAATGACACAAATCTATGAAGATCTTATTCTTTCTTGGGTCTGCTGGCAGCGTTAGCTTCTAGATATATGTATTTTGCTTTTAAAAAACTCTTTGAAATTTTACAAACCAAAAAATACAAAAAATAAAGTAAATTCAAGATGAAAATACATTAAATTAAACAAAAAAATGGATACTTACCTCTGGAAACCTGAAACTCGGAGTTTTGGGCTTGGATTGACTGCTCTTCTGATTTACATCACCACCTCTTTTTGGATGCTTTATGCTTGCTGGAATTTGTAAATCTAAGGTTCTTTGACCTAGATCTAGGGTTTTAAAGATAAGGAAAAGAGCTCAGGAATTTTAAGTAGGGCCTACTGAGGCTTTTATGAGGGTTTAGAAGGATTTTTTTTAGCTTTCTAAGGTTTTAGAGGGCTCTTCATATTAAATCCGAATTTTGAGATTTTTTGGGATTTTTAGAGAATTTTTCTTATTTTTATCCTATTTTCTAAGGATTTGAAATTAATCCATAGAAATTTTGGGTTAATTAGGATTGATCTAGGGATTTTGTTTTTTGGACTTTTTTGGGGCTTAAAACTTAAAACTTATAGTGGGCCAGGGTCATCGTGTGGAACGTCGTAGGACCTAGTGAACCCCATGACACATGGAGTATTGGGTGGCCCATGAGGTAGGGACTAAATGTCATTTTTCAAACTTTTTGACCGTAAGTCTAAGTCAAGTGTTCTTGGTCTATTGAAAAGCTCTCGGAGTCTTCTATGATTTGAAATAGGTTTTAGGCATACTTGGGACAATTCTATTAGGTCTAGGTTGCCTATGCTACTCGGTTTATGTAGTCATTTGGACTCATAATCAAGACATATATATATAACATTTTCTTATGTATTTATAAAGTTTAAAGCTTCAAAAATAGCCTAGATCGACAGATATATAAAAACTTGAAAATCTTGAAAATTGATGATCTAAAAATGTGGCACAAAATACACTATTTTCAAAACTTGAAATCCATTTTTTTTATCATGTCCATGCATTTTGATGTTAAGATGATCAATTTGAAGATATTTGGGCATCAAAACAATCTCTTCTCGTTAAATTTTTGAGGTAAGCTCTAATTTTATTGTTTAGAGCCTTAGCTCTATACAAACTTTTAAGATCATTCCGATTTGTGTACCTCTACAGTAAACGCCGAACGGCCCAGATCGAATCTGGGCCTATCTGACGATCACGGATGTCCGGTAGTGTTTTATTTTTAATTTTTACAAATCGGAATGATCTGAAATTTGAAGTGTGTATTCATAAAAATAGGCGAATCTATAAAAAATATCAAAAAAATATTTTACATTAAATAAATTGATCAAAATACCCCTGAAAAGTTTTAGGGGTATTTTGGTCAATTTGTTTTTTGAGAATTTATTTTTATATTTTTATTAGGTTTGCTCACTAAGATGTCAACATGCTCCAAATTTCAGATCATTTTGATATATACAAAAAAAATTAAAATTCAAACACTTTTGGACTACCGTGACAGTCAGATCGGCCTAGATCGAATCTGAGCCGTTGGGTGTTTACTGTAGCGATACGCACCTGGGCGTACATGAAATTTTTTTATATATATATAATATATATATATATATATATATATATACTACAAAATGCCTATAGGCGAAAATGAACACTGATTTTGCCTACCCTCATCACCATCCAAACTTCAGCGTACGGACACA